TATTGTAAAATCTGAGCGGTTTCTTTGTGTAAATGCTTTACGGCCCAGACCCACAAGAGAGTGATTTAGCACGGCTCCAAGAGAGGCAATGAGGTAAAGGAGAGCCAAGATGTTTAAGCAGACCAAGCGGGCCAAGGACAGCTTCCCGGGCGCAGACGGCTCTCAGCAGGGTTGGAAGAGCAGCAGTTAGGTTGAAGCACAGGCTGTGAGAGGACAAAAGTTTCTTGTGGTGCCAGCGCCTCTCTGCTCACTCCTGCCCCTCCGGTGTTCCCACACTGCTCTGCGAGGACACAGGGAAGACCACAGAGGGGGGACCAAAACAGGGGCAGGAAGCCATTAGGAACAAAGTTGAAGTAAGCTGCTTAGCTGTCACTACAGCTGGGAAAACTCCAACCAGACCCTGCTTCCAAGCTGGAAACGGTGGCCTAGGTGATAAATAGCATTAAACTTGGAGCAATCTGAAGAAAAAAAGGCAGTTAGCACCTGAGGATTAAATTGGGGGTTGTTAAGAATGCGATAAAGCTGTTAACGCAATCATACCCCTCTCAGGAAGTGGTGTTGGGGGTGCCATTCCCTGGTAAGTGCTTTTCAGCAGGGTTCAAGCACAGCCAGGCCCCCGCTGCTGGACTCATGTCCGCTCCTGACCTGGTAATAATTCAGCCTGTCCCTTCAAAGTAAATAGGACATAACCTACAGGGCATAAAGATCTCCTGAAGGGACCTTTCAGACTTGCTCTCCTGGCGCTGGAAGGAGGCTGTGCTGAGTCAGACGAAACTTGGTCTTATTTTGGGGATTAATTCCCAGTCAGGGTTCAGTGGAAGCTCGGGAAAGCATTGCCAGCTGGGAACCTTCTTGGCACAGCTAAGCCCATTTAGGGTGTGCTACCTACAGAGAAAAGAACCAAAAGGGTCCTTCCCACACCACATTCCTACCGTTGCTGACACCTGAGCCCAGCTCCTTTGGAGATGGCAGCTGAGGGCGGCAGCTAGCACACCGGCTTCACGCAGAATTGCGCGACATGGTGCGTACCTGTACTGAAGTTGCTTACGCTGGCGGGAAAGCCCTGCTGAGTTACTCTGCTGGATGCAGGAGTCTGCTGACCAGGATCCAAGTCAGGGACCTGAGCAAGAAAGAAGATATTAGAGAGTTTCTACCCTATAAGAACATTCATTTTTTTAGCATTTGATGCTGAGCTTTGTGCTATGGAGCAAGTCAGATCAACTAGTCATAAGGGTCCTTTCTGGCATTAGAGTAAGTGACACTTGTGTGGAATTGTGCTGGCTTAGTAATGGGCTTGGCTAGCTTCATCCAGCTTGGTGGGGTGGTTTGTGTTAGTAACAGTCTCCCAGGAACGCTCCTGTGCTCTCAGCATCATCTAAAAATACAGGTTGGTCAAGCAGCACTGCAATGCAGAGACAAGCCCAAAGTGTACCAGAGTCAGGTAGCAGCACAGGTCCAGTACTGCACCGTGGAGAGGAGTAGAGCAAGGCTTTAAAGACGCCTGGGGTGGCTTTGGTAGGACACTCAATGCAATGAGATAGATTCACCCCCACCCCCAGGAGCTCAGCTTTGTTCACAGGTTTCAGGGAGTTTTAGGGTGCTTATTGTGCACATGACAGGATATGGCTCAGTGGGATGACTCACCCCTCCCTGTAAAGTTAATTCACACTTTCCTGCTATTTCCATTCACAGGTTCTTCTGTAAGCTTTAATGCTGGGAAGCTGCAAAGCTGGGAGCCAGCTCCAAATAATCCCACGGGTCACTTTACATCTAGCAAACAGCAGACTGCAGGAGGACAGTGTGGTCCCGGACTTTGTCAAAGAAAAAAAAAAAGAAGCACATTCCCAAATCATGTTTTATCGGCAGTAATTTCCTATTCCCTTCTAGTTTCTGAATCACATTTGCTCATTACCTCTGCTACGCTGTGTTTTTGTCCATTTTCTTTCCTACCTCTCTGCTGAGCTCCGCCAGCAGCCTCACTTCCCAGTCCCGCGCCTTTGGAGCAGCTATGGGGCCCCAGAGGTGGACAGGTAGGAGCCCTGACCTACATCTGATGCTGATGATAAGGCTAAAGGATGAGTCCTGTGAGCTATCTTGGATAGAGCCTTTGTGTCCTATGTGGCAGGACCGAAATTTTTCAGCACTTGAGTAGTGTTTAACTACCAAGTTAAGTTAAATAAGGCTGGTGGCTAAACTACCCACCAGCTTAATGACAGAGCAGCATGCTGTTATGAAGGCTCCAAATGCAAGTCCTACATGGGCTTGTCTCAGGGAGTGCTGGGAGGGGCTCCTGACTGGTCCCTGGATGGTGGCTTATGGGGAGAGGCGCTGAAAGCGTTGGGTGTTTGCTACTCCATCCCCCTTGGCAGGCTCCACCCTGAGCGGCTGCTGAGGGAGAGGAAAATTAACTGAGGCAACAGAAGGATCTTGGAAGGTTCCAGCTATTTTTACCATTGCTAGTGGAGGTCAGGACACAGAGGGAGAAGTGGGGCAATTTCTCTCTTATGGTATTATCAGTAAGATGGAATAACTCCTCCTCCATCTTTATGCCCGGCTTAATTTGCACTGACAAAATTACAAACACATATTGCAGACGTTAAAAAAATTTATTTGAACAAATATTAGACACAATCACAGAGGAAGAGAGCAGCTCTCTGTACAGTTTCTTTTCCAGAAAGAAATAATCCCTGTTTCATACCAAGCTACTGCAGGATGACCCTTGCTCTCCCCAGCAGGAGGGGAGTCTCATGGTTTTTCCACCTGTGGATTTGCCCCATAGGGGTATGGCGTGCGCCTGAGCAGGTCACAACACAGCCCTTGGTCCCACAGGCTCGAGAAATGCGTAAAGACCCAACAGACAAACTGAACCAGCGATACAGCGAAGGTGCCTGTACAGGTAGGAAATACGTGGAGGGATGCATTGCTTAGTGACAGCTTTGTTCAAGAAGTGGTGTCCTGCCTAGAGGCATGTAGGACAAGTCACTCCTAGCTACCACCTTCGTACTCTCCATCTCTCGGGACTCCTCACTGCACCTGGATGGCATTTCAGCTGGGGGACTCCTTTCAATGTTCAGCTTGCTTTGCCACACCATCCTTTTCAGGTCTCTAAGCCTTACCCTACAGGCAGCTCCACGGCTGTGAACCACTTCCCTTGGCCCACCTCTTTCATACTACAATACCGCCCAGGGAGACAGCAGGCTTGTCTCATGTTCTGGGGATGACATGACCTGCGGCACAAAGAGAGATGGTTGCGAGAGATGTTTGCAGGCATTTGTTTGGATCCAGAGCCATACTGCATTTGTTGGGGTTTTTTTACAGGCCCACTAGCTCAGGTGTGCTTGCTTTTGGTGCTGGGCAAACAATCCACAACTATATCCCTTCTGTCACGTTACTCCAGAGCGTCCTCAAAGTGATGGGCCATGGCCAGATGCAGAGAACTCCCTGAGTACTGAAAGCATTGCTTGACAGACCTGTCACGCTCTCTGCTACATAAACCAGAACGAAATGTCTCTGTGAAACAAGTTTTGGAAACTGATGCAAGTTCTGTAATAAAATGTGAGTAGACTCAGGGAAATGAATCCTCTGAGAAAGAGGTGAGAGGGCAACAGAGCAAATATAGTGAATGTTTTGCTCTGGCAGGAACTTCATGGATTTCCTTTGCTTTTGATTTCAGCAGATCAAGCAGTGACTTTTAAGACAGGGAAGCACAACAGAAAGAAACCCTGAGCCCTCCGTTCCTGTTCTGCAGCCTCAGGAAGAACAGTACAAGGTAAATTCTGTTCTCCTGTGTAGATCTGAAACTGAGGATTTTACTGACCAAGAGGAACTCTCTCTCTGTACATCCCCCTCCTTTTGATTCAGAACTTAATGTATGGACAATGTTACTTTGAAATTGAGATCACTAACAAATTTTCCAGGTCCCTAGAAGATTCCCTGAATATTAGCATCTCAACTAAGTAGAATCACAACTTTCATTTAACAATGTTCTTTCTTCTTTCCTGCTCCATCTCCCTTCCTTCCATCACATTTTCCTTTTTATTCCCTTCCTTTTCTTCTTTCTCTCTTCTCCTTTCATTACATGCATGGCTCTCCATCTACATTTCACCCTTAGGTAGTGTTACAAACACTTCGCTGACACAATTTGGTCTCTGCTAGACAGACAGAGGCACTCAGTGCTGTTCCTCACCCATTCCTTCTCTCAAAACACCACACACACACAAAAAGGCCTTTCAAAGTAGGTCCCCAAGTTCATGACTACCTCTTAAGACAGGGCTATAGCATCGGCACCCATTGGAGTGCAGAGTCCTCTTCAGAGGACGTCTTGCTTAAAGAATTACTGTAGCTCTCGGTGCATTTTCTCTTCAGCCTGCTAATGGCCTTTATTTAGGAAAAGCTTTCTCAAGGGTACTCACAATACAGGGCCTTTAAGAAAGAGCGCTGCTTTTTCGCAGCCAAGTGACTTCTACCTATTTTGGCAAGCAGAATCAGAGGGGGAACCCAAGCCTCGCGTTACAAACTCGGCAGCCCACGTCTGACCACGTTGCAGTCACCTGTAACTGCCCCTGCCCTACTCTCTGCCAAGCCTGTAAATCAGCCAAAACATAGGCAGACTTCCGAAGTCCCTCACATTTATTATGCTGCGTCAGGACTCAGAAAGTGTGTGAGCTTCCGGCAGAAAACTGGTCATTTTGAACAATGTAAGGAACCTGCCTGTTCTGGGGTACTGAGTTTTGGTGTATTAAAAGTTCCCATTAGTCTGGGACAGTACAGACATGTCCAGCAGGTACCTATAGCTGCCTGGACCATTCCACATCCCGGTACAATGGAAATGCAGTTCATGTCTCCTAGGCATCTGATACTGTAACCCAGCAAGAGCCAGGTTTCCAAGCCCAGCAGCTTATCATACCCTCCTCGCTGGGGCCATAGGAGCAGTCACTCCAAGAAGGTGCAGAGCCAATACTGGCATCAGGTGTTTCTTTTTAACCCCCCTCAAAGCAGCTTCAGACAAAGCAGAAGAACTTCTTCCAGCGGCACTTGGAGAGAGTTTTGATGCCTTTGGCCGTCATCTTCTTTTCCTGCCGTGCTTTGTGTTCAACACCACTGACAATGGCCATGTCAAAAACTTCTTTGAGGTTCTTCTGGGTCAGCGCTGAGCATTCCAGATAGGCTTCGGCCCGGATTTTGTCAGCTAGACCTTCTGCCTGAGGCCGGGGCACGGGCTTCACATGGTAGCGATCCAGGCTGATGAGGACATTGACATCGTCCCGTAAGTCTGCCTGAGTCCCCACTAGCAGCACTGGCGCCCGTGGGTTGTGAGTTCGTATCTCAGGGATCCATTTCTCAGTAATGTTTTGGAAGGAACTTGGGTTTACCACGCTGAAGCAAACAAGGAAGACGTCGGTGTCAGGGTAACAAAGCGAGCGCAAACAGTCAAAGTCCTCCTGTAGAAAATGGAGGGGAAAAATAAAAAAAAACACTTCACTGAACTGAACTCTAAGAGCATGACACTGCAGTGGCCTTTTTGCATATTCACTAGAACACCAACACCCTCAGAGACAGGGCAGCATGCTAACTTTGTGCCTGTGCCATGGTTCAGGCACAAGTTTCAGAGCTGAGGAGATCTGTCTGTTGTTCACCCATCTGTGACTGCCATACCAGCAACTGCCTGATGCTACACTAGTAGTGCACGTCCTTCCTTCCTAGTTAAACACTGCCTTCCTCAAAAGCCTGCAAACAGTCCCTGTCCTACAGGACCAGAGCTTACAGCTGCTTTGATAGAGCTTACCTGTCCAGCCGTGTCCCACAGTTGGATCCGGACTGGGGCTCCATCCACCAGGACCTGCACTGTAGCAAAAAGAGAATAAGGATGAGTCTAAGGGACTTGTCCAGCATACACATGTACGCTCACACAGGTTTCTCCCCAGAGCACTCTGGTTTGTATCCCACTGAACAGGCTCGCTGAAGTCACTCCAGTCTGTCCTCCTTGCTGAGCATCCTCCCCAACCTCCCTAAAACAGCTGAGGCTTGCACTAGGAACATTAAGAAACCTGCAATAAACTTTCTGATTTGCTTAGCCCTCAGGTGTTTTGGGCTCTTCTCCAGTATTTTGAAAGAATTGTTCCATATTACTGGACAACTGCTTCTCTAGAGAAGAAGAGCCCTTAGCCAAATGGTGCCCTGAGAACAACTTGTTGTTCTACTTCCACACCCCAAGAAAGCAGATAAGGATAAACACAAACTCAGAACTTCAGCAACTTGCTCCTAGCATCTTGGCCCAGGCTGGAAATTTGGATCAGTCTCCATTAAACAAGCTATTGGAGACTTTTCCCATCAAGGCCAGAAATTTGGCCTTAAAAGAGAAAGAGAAAAAAAAAAAAAAGAGGGGAGTTTTTTTAAGTGTCCCAGCTAAGGAAACACAAAGACCTGAAACCAACTTTGAAATGAAGAAACTATTAAGGAAACAGTGATGAGTGAAATCCCCTTCAGAGACTATCCACACACTAAAAAACTGCTGAGTTACACATGTAAGGTCTGCTCCCATTTCACTCCCTAATCACAGTAAGCCTTCATGTGGTATCAGCTGACTCAGACTGAGGGCTGGCAGGACCTCTGATGGAAATCTGGAATGAAACTGTTAGATGTTTAAGCACACAGACACCACAGAGACTGGCTAGGAACCGCGGAAAAGGAGAAAGGGGTTGGGGGAGCTGGAAATCACTTGAAACAAGTGATTTGAAACAAGACGACATGGATGGGGCCACGCTCTGGTGAACAGAGGGAGATACCCTGGCTAAGGTGATGATGGCTGACACTTGACACGAGCTAGCCAAATGCCCTTGCTGTGCCCAGGGAGGTGGCTTTATTGTCCTTTTTGTCAAAAAATACCAAACCAACAACCCCGAAGCAGGATCAACCTTTTGTGATTCTTAAAGTAATTAGCCAGGTGAGAAAAGCGATAGAAACAACTGTCTTGGAGTGTTTGAGGCAAGCTCTGGGAGAAGAGCACTCCTCCCTGAAAGCAGTCTGGGGAGAAGGAGGGAGACACAGACAAAAGATGAACTGAAATTTGGTGAGAGACTGAGACTGAAGGGAAAACGAAGGGGTGGGTGCGTCCACCACAGTGCCACTCCTCGTCCACCACAGTGCCACTCCTCGCGGCGTAGCTGAAAGTCATTGCTTCCTTGTGACTGGGAAACGGTTGGGTTGTTACCATATCTTTGCCCCAGAGGAGGAAGAGAAACCTGTTCCTGATCAAAGAACTTGCTAGATCCTGACTTGATCTTCAAGGCACTGGGCATTTGCCTTTCTAGTATCTGTTTTCTTCTGTCTCACAAGTGCGTTGAGAGAAGGAATTAGCATCTTTGAAATGTTTTACAGTCTTCAGAAGAAAGGCACCACGTATATTACCTGCTGCTCCACTGCTTGCACAAGGTTTTTTCGTACCTGCTGCTAGCCTAAGCTAAGCTAGCAGCTCTGTGACAGCCCTCCAAATACCGCCCTCACAAGGTCCACACCCTCAGGACGAAGCTGGATTTCTGTACAATAGCGAAGGGGCCGGCAGAACAGGATAGCCCGGTGGAGAAAGGTCACCGGGTATACACGTTTCACTCAAGGCTGCTCTACCTGGCAGTGACACCCAGACAGATATGGCTGGGTCACAGTCCCAGAACCGTTCCCCTGATAACACAAGACTTTCTCCAATCTTGTTATTGGTATTACAGTCCATTGACCAGAATTAGGGTTAGGATGCAAACTGCGGAGCTCAGTTCTGCCGGCAGTTTCAATTGCAAGCGTTCCCCAACGGTGGAGAGAATCAGACTGAAATTTCTGAAATGGATCTTAAACTGTGCTTCGTGAATCCAAGGAGGGAGTTTCTTCAAGTTTATCCAGGGTTAAGAGTAGGGGTGGGAAGGGAAACTTCTCTATCCTCCCGTTTGCTCCCAATAAGCAGAAAGTGGACTTCAGAAGACCTGGCTTTAATGGTTTTGGTTTCTACCAGCTGCAAATGCTATGCACTTCTGGAAGCCTGGTTCGGTGCTTGAACATGCAGAGTAGGGCTAAACCCATGTGCAGCTATCTTCAAATTACTTGCTGCCAATCGGGGAGTCTCTGAACTCATACTGCCTCCACCTTTCTGGATTGTTTTACTATGGATTTGCCCTTTCCAAAAATGTGGAGGCTAATAACTATGGTCATTTCAAGCCTCTCTTAGCCCAAACTGTACACATCGGTGTAAAGGGAGCAGAGAGAGCAGTCATCTTTCCCCTGGAGGACTTGAGGGCTCCTTACGTCTGTTCCCAAAGAGCTGCTGGACCCCGAACAGCAGCATGTTCCCAGTTCATTTCCTTCAAGGGACAGTGGAAGAGCTTGGAGAGCGTCAAGGCAAATCAACAGTTCCCAGTGTAAGAGTAAGCAACTGGGGGGACATTCAGACAAACAAAATGCTCCCTCTAAGAACCCCTGAGATTATGACACATTAGAAGTCTCGGTCCAGGTCTGACTTGAGCCCATCTCTAATCTACCGATCTATACTGTCATGTACTGTTGTGTTTCTTCATATCAGATGAAGATCAGAAATCTTTCAAAGGACTTTGTACTTTCCTGGGGTTTATATTAGAAATTGGAGCCCAAAAGAAGAGGAGCAGATAACAAGAACAAAGATGGCATTTACGAAAGTGGAAACTAATGAGAGCTCATCAGCTGACAGCAAAGGCAATTCTAGCCAGACTTATAAAGCCCTTCAACTTCTTGGCAACCTCTGTTCAACATTAACTTCAGCGGACACGTGGGGAAAAGGATGTTTTTGCTGAATATCAGTTGAAGCTAGAAAGCCTACAGTGCAAGGCTGGGATATTTCTGAAGCTAAAAACCACCAACAACAACTAAAAAAATTAAGTCCCCTTTCATTTATCCATAATAACACCCCAAAACCAGGAAGGTGCCCAGTTTCACAGACCCTGCAAGCCAGCTCGCCGCACGCCCCGTTGATATACGAAGCCGCAAAACGCAGGACTTGCACCCCGCTAAACTTCACAAAACGCCCGGGGGGACTCGGTCCGAGCCTGCAGAACCCGCTCCTGGGCTTTGCCCACCCCAGGCTGTGCTCACCCTACACCCGCAAACCCCCCTCTACCCTCGGTGAGCAGCCCCGGCGGCAGC